TAAGGTAGTCAGTCGGCAAAATTGCGGAAAGCTTACGCTGCAGGACGTGTTTGCTGTCTTGCAAAAGTATTGCAAAGAAGTGTTTGCTGTGTTGCAAATGCTTGCCCTCCGGCAACCGAATCCTTAATAACCCGCGCCCCGTAGGGGGGGCCGAAACGGCCCTCCCTGTCCTTTTCCGTCAATATCTCCTAAACGGCTGGAGATATCGCCACCAAACTTTTAGGACCCCTCCGGGCATCAATTTTACACATTGTGACCTAAAAGTTTCCCAGAGGCTCTGATAGGTTGGCCACAAATGACGTCAGAATGACGTCATGTTCTGCCATTTTCGACCGAAAAAAGACCTTCGCGAGAAGAGCTGTCGGGCCTACAGCTTTGAAGATACAAAAAAATGATCAGACTTAAAAGGTGTAAAATTGACAAGGCTACAAAACTGCTATCTCGGATTTTTGAAATTCTTGAGTTTTGACCCCCAAAAATAAAAAATGCAATTTTTTGGATATATTAGCCAAAAAATCCAAAAAGTTTTTGAGTTTCGAAAAAACGGAATATATGTGATAGAACCTACCGTCTTCTATCTACATACTAAATTTCAGATCGATATCTCGTTTTTTGGCCAAGTTATAGCGGAAAAACTGTTCAAAAATGATGACGTCAAATTTTCAAACTCAATTTTTGGCAATTCTAGACCACCTAGGGCAAAATAAAGACCACCATTAGACTCCCCGTGACGAGCTGCACCTATTTTATGCAAAAATATCAACTTTGAAATTTGACCTAATTTGACCTGACCTTGACCTGACCTCCAAAACGTGACCTTAGCTGCCCCCAACGGCTGTCTGACCCACATAATTGCATTTGTCATTGTTTCAATTTGTTTCATTTGTTTCAATAACTTATCAATTTACTCGATTTCACAACACATTTCTTGAAATGCCTGTGAACGGTGAAAATCTGACCTTTGACCTGACCTGTGACGTGATCGGTTTAACCTAGGTCAATGAAATTTGGTCACAAGGTAGTTCCCCGGTGGGGCTATCGAACGCCGTTTGAATTTTGAAAATCGGCCGGTAAATTTCCGAGATCTTAAGGCCGCCCCACACTGGACCTCGCATGCGGGTTGCGAGTTTGCGGGTCTTGAGTTTGCGGGCATAATACTAATTCATAGAGTGATTAGACCGTTCCCTTATGGTAACTTCATGAATGCAGTGAAGCCAGTACACCTTCAGAAAATTACATATGGTCGCAATACCAGCGCAACCAACCAAAATTCGACTCCAACGAAAAACCTGCAAACTTCGCAGAACTCGCAGACCTCGCAGCGAGGAAAATCGAAAGTTGACTCAAAATCAACTTTTGGAATGCGATGCAAGTTGGCTCGCATGCTAAAAACATGCACACTCGCTTGTTAGATGGTATTGTGGGTCACTCAGCTTAGATTGTATTATTTGATTTGAAAGAAACTCAAAAACCAAAAACTCGCAACCCGCGTGCGAGGTCCGGTGTGGGGCGGCCTTAAGGGGGGGGGGCCGAAACGCCCCCCCCCCTACGGGTGGTAGGGTCTGCCGGTAGCCCTACGGGGCGCGGGTTAACATAAAGCTAATTGTGAGTTGTGAGAACCTGCTAGCGAAAGGGCTCTGAAAAGACCAATTGAATGTTGTTTTGCGATGATGTACCTACAGCCAAAGCCAAAGCCAATTGACGTTGGTTTGTCTTTAGTGACATTAGTCAAATATGACAGAACTATTTTCTAAATAACTTTTGACTGACCTTTTGAATGCCGGTTATTGGCTTGACGACATCAAGCTCTCGAGGCTCTGCAACTGTCATGCACTGTAAAAAAATATTGACGAGCTATGTGTCAAAACAAGGGTCTCGAAACAGTCACCAGGTTGTCAATGCTTCCGGTACCTACCACTTGACTAGTTACCGCTTAGTTAGCTTACAGGCTGAGAACTATCCAGATCGTTATGATCCGGTATTGTAATGATACCCTAGGTGTACCTTTGTTTTGAAGTGCTGAATTAACTATCAAGGTTGTTTGACGTTTGTTTTCGCCTCAATCCGAAACGAGGAAGACCCTCATCAAATTATTAGGTGAAAGCCAGGCTCAGGATGATCAAAATACTAGGGGTAGTTTTGTCATAGTAATCTGTGAAGGGTGAGGAACAAGCCGGTAGCAATGCACTCGTCACTAAACCAGCCTGAGATTATTCGCCAGGTAGCTGCTGCGTTTCCCTACTTGCTGAATCATGTTTGCAACTTTCCATTTCCAGACACTTTTTACGGCAAATAAATTGTTGGGTTATTTGGAAGGTGAATGACAATTTTATTTCTATAAGTCAATACATTTGTATTTCCGATTGCCCTAAAGCTTTTTTTTTAATCGTTTGCGGTAGGTTTTTATTGTTCGCAATAAAGTTGCGCACCTGTGAATCCTTCACTTAATGCGTTCCCGGCTTCCCGGCGCCAGTTGCGCTGTGCCGTGCCGCGTTCGGTCGGGGGCAGGGGTGGAGCTTCCTATTCACTTGGTGGGGCGCCTGCCCCACCAACTTGCCATTTTGCCCCACCAATAAGCGTTTTGCCCAAACCAACTTAAGCCGATTTGCAGGACTTTACTGCTTAGCAAACCTATGTTTTTCGCATTGAGGAGCTTTGAAATGTTTGTGTAATGCAAAATATTATCTCTGTAATGAAAAGAATTGATTCATTGTTGAATTTTATCTAACTTAACAATCGGACATTGTAGGTTTGACAACTTTTTGCCCCACCAACTTTCCTGGAAAAGCTCCACCCATGGTCGGGGGTGCGCGCGTCTGTGCAGTGCGAGTGTTTATCACTGGGCAAACCTGTATCGTTTCCATTTGTGCAGTGTCTAGTTATGAAGAATTGCTTGCCGATATATGACCTGCAGTGATCGACGTTCTGATTCAATAACTTGCCATAAGCCATTATTCTCAACCAAATCGCGCAGAGACGTTTGCAAAGTTGTCGAGGGGGGGGGGAACAAGAGCGATTTTAAATGAATTGCTCTCCATGCAGTGCAATAGGACTTAGGTTTAATTTTTCGAAAGTTGTGGAGCCGCCCCCGGTGTCCGGCCTGGCCAACTCTCTCAAGAACCGACAGCTAACGGAACACTGAAGTTTCACTACGACGATTTCCGCCAAAGTTATGAAGAAAAGGCAAGTGCAAGAAGCAAAACTTCTCTTGGTAATCAAAACTTAGGTTTGGCAAATTCCAAACCCTAAGTCACTACAACTGTGGATATAAATAAGCTGGTTATTGACGGCCAAGCTCTGGCCAATCTGAGGTTCAGACCTATCATCAAGTTCATGAGGCAGCTGCGGTTGGGCGGCTCACGGGCTCCACTGCATAGGCTCAGACAGGTACTCTACAAAATGTCTTCTGTGTTCTTAGGCTCAGATCTATCGATAGGTATGTGCATGCTTCTGATTCGATTGATAACTGTAAACGGGCGCTGGAAGTGAAAGGTTCGCTTGATATACGAAAGGTGCATTGCAAGAAAGCACATTATTTCAGAAATACACTTTCATTTTATCTTGAGCGTTTTTGGAATGGGCCGGATGAATTCGTCATCAAACTGGTAAGGGATTTCGTTTGAAGATCACCGATATTTAATAATATGATGGTCTTCAAACGAATTCGCTGGCAAATTCGATGACTGGATTGGGCGGCGTAGGATCTGCTGGTCATCTGACTATGGGTTGAGCAATACGTTAGTTTTGACCTAGTTTGAGCTTCATTCGTTAAGTAGGAACAAGACTATGCCTCTTTTGAGCATCGTCACTAAACAAGCCACCCTCGTTTTGACATTGTTTTTCGTTATTATTGTTACTAGGTACTTTGTTATCATACACAGCATTAACGAGGACCTGCTTCCAAAACAAGGCAGAAACGCTCCAGCTATTTTTGGGACGTGTTAAAAACTAACCGACACCTGGTAACTGTCATCTGACGAACACAAAACAAGCCAGGGGCTAGCGTGTGTCAAAAGTAGGATGCAAAACTAGTCTGTACCCCCGACATTTAGCGTTGAGAATCATTTGACGAGGGGCTAGTCAATATTTTTTACAGTGTGCCACCATCTTTTGCGCGGTTTATAAATGGACTGACCCCTGTTTTAAGTTCTATGTAAAGTAGGGACTAGATATTTCATGTAACCTCAGTCATTATCTGCTTAGATAGGTACACAGAAAAACATCAACTAATTGGGACCATGACGGTCGTCGATCATACCTACCATGCATGCCTATAGGCCTGATCACTGTAATCAGTATCGCTGCCATTCAATCAATACACATTAAATCATTTAAGGATCAGACATTAAATCAACATAGCAACAAAAACATTGCGTTAAAATGATATATCTTTCCTTTCTCTTTCGACGACTGATGTGTGAAATATTTAGGGCGCGTGGTCGTTGCATTTGAGAATTAAAAGGCACGTCGGAGCTGGGTCAGCCTAATCAATGAGAACCTCGGGCCTCGCCGTGTCGCCCTTGCATTGTCAATACTGGTGTGCGGACTGGGCCGGTCGGCCGACGGGGCGCGGTCGGTCACCTGCAGGGGCCGGGTGGGGGGGGGGGGGGGGTATCCGTTGCCATGGCAATGGTAAGGACGCAGGGCAGGCCGTCGGCGGCGGACCGGGTCAGTCTGCGACACGACTGCATGAAACAGGTGAGTGACTGTGAGGGCCCACCCAGCTGACGCGGTGGGCGTGGTCGGACCCATACCAATTGTGTGCTCAAACGGGCGGGTGATTGCTAACTTGCAAATGTGGTTGGGCTTAGCTTGGAATAGCCAATAGGGAGCCTCGGGTAAAAATGTTTCAGCGATTAATTATGTTTAGATGAAGCAAAGCAAACAAAAGACGTTCCATGATGTTTCTAGTGTTAATCGTTTGATTTAAAGCAAAATAACGCATTGTTTGTGAATGAACTTAGGCATCGACTTTTGGACTTCTCCTCTGTGTTTGCTAGATATGGCAGTTCGTGAAAGTTAATAAATCGAAGAAGAAGAAGAACAGAAATGACGATGCTCGACCATTCATATGACTACTCGGCTCAGTAAGTAGGGATCATGGCTGTTGATGGCTAACCGGTTGCGTGGTGCTTATTTGTTGTAACAATCTGCGCAGGGTAAGTGCTTGGGCATTTACTTACTTGCTGCATAGTCACAACTGCATTGCAAGTTGATACGTTAGTTTTGCCAGGGGGGTGACACCGTAATGCTGTGCCATAGGCCGATGTTGTAGGCAGCTGATGAGCAGGGATGACGTCATCGGCCCATGATAGCCCTGACCAATGTGATCCAACCCATTGCGACTTAAGGTGACCTCTGTGACTTGGCCTGACCCATCGTGACCCTGGGTGACCTCTGTGACCTGACCTGACCCAGGGTGACCTGAGGTGACCTAAAGTGACCTGAAATGACCCAGCGTGACCTGATTTGACCTTTTTATCTGGAATTCACCCATTTGGACCCCTTCGTTCACCTTTTCGCGTAAGTACATTTAGACTTCTAGATGTCACTCCAACGTGAAACCTTTACTACTCGAACTGGTTATTATCGCGTAAATGCCTTATTCGTGATAGCGCCGCGTAGCAAGCGGTTTACCGAGTGTGAACGCGGTCACGGCTTTCAGCAAGCTGGCACGCGGAGCCCGGAGGTCTTAGCTCCGCGTTGCCGGAGCTGAGCGCCAGCTGGACGACACGCGGCAGGAACGTATACAGTCACTGGCTGGTCTTCATGTCAGCGAATGCCGAATGGCATGGCCAGCTCAAGCACAGGCCGCTGACTCCAGGCGGCCAGCTGCGCCTGCAAGCTGTCTGCCATCAAGCCGGTGGCGGCGGCGTGGCCAGCGCGCCGAGCAGCTGCACCGCGCGACACCGCAGCCGGCAGCGGCCCCATCTCCGACTAGCACCGGCCCCGCCGAGCGCCGCCCCGGCGTCAGCTACCTACTGGTTCAGGTCGGGCACCATGGCCGCAGCGGCTCGGCGCAGTCGGCCCAGAGCGCGGCCAGCTCGGCCAGCACCGGCAGCGACAAGTCCAGAGCGTCCGTGGCACGGCTGACCAGCGGCAGGTGGATGCAAGTCCCCACCGAAATTTGGTTGCATCGAAATTCGCCACGATATTCAGTTCCTATCAGGCCGCGTTTCCATGCTAAATGCTCTGACTTTGTGAAGCGATATATCCAACGCTTCAACATTTTTTTTTTTTGTAGGGGGCTGCACCTTACCCCATCAGCCCCGCGTTGAGGCAGAACCCACCGGCCAGGCTCCATCTGCCTCTCCCGCACTAACAGAATCAGCCTAACATAATCAGAATCGCCGATCAGTTCCGGCCGGTAGGTACAGCCTGTTGGTCTCTGAGCCGATGGCACCGCAGCCGCAGCGGTTAGCCAAAGCTTAGCAGGTGCTCCAGAGCCCCGTCAAACGACAGAGGAGGCACCTAGCACTCAGCAGCACAGTGCCGTCGACCGTTCCCGAGCCGATAACCAAAACTACAATGAGTTCCACACAGTCACTATGTCCGCCGTCGATGAACAGTTGCCCCCTCCCCCTCCCAAACTCCAAGCTTGATCCGCGCTTGAACTCAGTAGTTGACAGTATTTTGTTGACAGTATTTTGGGTTCTAACTTCTATGCTGCCTAGCCACGAATGTGCATTGTGCATAGCTTGACATTTATATCAACCTATGACATGCTAATGAACGTGTACGAAAACAGCTGGTTTTGTGTTTTGGTCAGTGGTCACTTAGTTTCTGTCTACCCGTTTGCTACGGGCGGGCCCACGGCTTAGGTACAGCAGTCGGTAGGGGAGAGTGGGGCTATCTGTTACAGGGGTAAGTTGTAACAAAGGAAATATCTTGAAAAATACTCTTGATATGGCGCCAATATTTACGCTAGCAGAAAGGTTACGCACATTTTACATGTAACTGCAGGCTCAGACCTGGTGGAACGCCATGTCGCCCTGTAGGCGCACTGGGGTAAGTTGTGACAGCAAAAGTATTTTTTGCTGGCTAACACTTTGGGTCGTTTTTTTGTCAAGGTTATTTGTGTAAGAATGTTGAATGTATGTTCACAAAATTAAGCGATGATTTCTTTTGTAAGATAACCAAGTAAAACGCACTAGCCTCTTCATGTAAACAAACATTTGAGTTCAGTCTTGTGAAAGTCGGCCGCCGCAGGGCCGGGGCATGTTTAAAGATGGCTACCCAAGACTGCTTATAGCGTGCTCCATTTCACCTGGGCGTAAATTTCGTGTAGAAATCAAACTCCGGTCAGTATGGCAAAGCATGGTGCCCTTGGCGTAGCAGTAAAGGCAAATCAGAGATTGAGCCATGTTTGCTGAGCCTTTTCATGCGTGTGGAGTACAGTAATGGTTTAGGGGAGAGATGTCATATTGCGCCACCTTAAGGATATCGGCCTATTGCGGCTAAAGATGACCAGCTGTCATGCTTGATGATATCTCAAATTGTACCTCAGTTATTTTGGCATCAAATAACAACTCCTAATTTGTATCACACCCAGAAAAATTAACAAGAGAAAAGTTTTCCGACACACCTGCAAAGGGCGCATTTACGGACTACCCCATCAAAAAGCGCCCATGCCTCTCATGTAAAAGCGCCCTATTAAAACAACGGTTTGCCACCTAACTAAGTAGCCTATTTGAAAGTGTCAGCCCATTAGCCATTCATGCTGTGAAGGCTAAGGTAATGGTAAGGTGAGCGCTCTAATAATCAAAGTGTTCAATGAAATGTGTCCCAACCACCAGATGCTGTTTCTCTGGGTTGAAGAATAGGGCGCAAATAGGGTGGGCGCAATTACGAATGGAACACATTTTTCATAAGCTTCAAATATGGCGACGACAGCGAAGCCACGGTGGTGATAAACTTTCAAAACTACCATTAAACGAGCAATTAATAATGATTATTAGTTGAATCACTATCTCTAAGATAAACCATGACACTAGCAAAGGTCGAAATAGACTGTTTCGCGTAAGAAAATAGAGGAAATCACAAAAAATGGTCTGCGAGAAAGCTGAGACACCTCACCTGCCCCCGTGGACCGGAATAAGAGCGAGTTATTGGTGGTGAAGTAAATGCACACATTCGAGTATTCGTTCGAATCGAATTTTGGGCAGGAGGAAGGTGTGGCGCATTTAAGAACATGGCGCAATATGACCTCTCTCCCCTATGCTTTATTGTTCTTGCCTTTCAATGAGAAAGGAAAGCATGTTTAGTATTATCCATTAGGGAGGCTTACGATCGCTTCCGATAGGACGGCCAATGACAGTTATAATGATGAAGAAACTACGAAAAAAGAAGTGTAACATGTTACCCCATATCGTGTATCAAGTTGCCCCACAATTTTTCAACTTACCCCAAAAATCTTGCTTTGGTTTTCTGAATTTCACATAAAAGTGAATAGTCGTAAAGAAGTGAAAGTTTGCATGTGCTTTCCAAATTGATTCAGCTAGCATGTGACCAAATTTGGTGCAATTTCATTGAATAGCTTGGCCACTAAGTGCAGAAGACCAAAAAGTGTAACGCATAGCCCCACTCTCCCCTACCGTCGGCACCGACTGCAAAATAGAGAGAGTTGGCTGCAATTTTTTGCTGTTGAAAGGTTGCAAGGATATTGAGTAAAACGGTTAAGAGGCCGCTGAACGTTTATTGCATTCCAGTTGGATAAAATCGATCACGAAACAATTGGCGCAAACCCCATTCAGTTTCGCTGCCGTGGGTGGGCGGAGTCGGCGGAGTATGGGCCGATGACGTCATCCCCCCGCCGGCCGTGATTCGCCCCGATTGGCCGATGTCCATACCTGGTTAGAGGGCCTTGAGTTATGCTTCGCAGCGCGGGGCTTATAAACAGTGAAAGCCGAATACACCGTTCCACGCCTGTCACCTGCGAGGGTAGACTGTGCCGCAGCGCACCGCTGTCGTGCGGCACAGCATCTCCATACTGAACGCGTGCGTTACGGCGGAGAGTGAAGTGAACCGTGAAGCCTCTGCTTGTCGATACTCTGCTTTCCTCTGAGCTCACTCCGCGCCTGTCCGCGTCCCAGGACAGCCGAGGAGCACGGTCCACCGATCGGTGACCCTGCCGAGCCGCTATGGCGGTCACGGCGGAACGCGCGGATCCTGAGCGCCGTGCAGCGGATCGGCCGGCGCTCGGCGGAGACAGCCTCGCGCACCGACAGGCTCCGGGCCGCCAAGGTGGGGATAAACACAGCAGTTGCACAAACGTCTCCTTATGTAATACCTACGTTCAACTATGGTTCCTAATGGCTCCTAATGCAAAATATGTAGGTATGAGTACCTACTTAAGTATAATATTAAAAGCTATGTTCACCAAATCCTATTCTACTGTGCTAGAGACTTCTAATTTCACGATGTCCTCCCAAAACGTCTTTTTTTTCTTACTAAAAAAACGATTTCTTAGCGACGACACGAGCGGCTGGTCCAGCACCTACTCTATAACACCTGCGAGGAGGATGGCGTCACTCCGGCAGTCGGACGGCGGCCAATTTTACCGGAACTGACGGACGACCCTCCGAGAGCGACTTCTGGATCAGTGAGAGGTCGGATGACGTCCATTGTCCAATAGTCGACTAATAATGTCCAGAAGTGTTCACTCGCTTACGAATCTTATGTGCCTTTTTATTGCTTCATTCCTCTTTTCAAGTTTCAATTAATTGGCTCTTCTAGCGAATAATTTAACGAAATTGTACATTCATCATTGCTAAAACATTAGGAAGTACACGTCACTTTGTGATAACCAAGTAGGTATAGGTAATAATCCTTAATTTCGATCTCGTTGCAACTTACAACTTTGCAAACTTAACAAACCCGAAACATATCATCATTTATTAGTCAATGGTAGGACGTAAATGCAGTCTATATGTGTGAAGAGTGATGCGCATCATTACAGCAGCGATTCCGCGAGATGTCCCGGTTGCGGACGAGACGGAAGATAAGGATAGTGCCGACGCTGAAGTCAATAAGTGGCTTGATTCACAGATCAAGTAAGAACGTCTATCGGATTTTGCGATCACCTTTTGCTTTAGGACCCGGTCAGTTTTGCATTGCTTGACAACGAGCAATTGCTGGTTAGCCTTGCAGAACGCAAGGCAATCCCCTCCATCTTTTTTGCCTCTCGTGTTTTAATCTTAACGCTTTTAGCGCTACGCACTGAAGAGTTACACGGAGGAGCTTTAGTCCTAGAGTGTCAGTCCCGTGTAGAGGCTATGAGCCGCGTGTTGACCCGCCGCGGTCGGCTGGCAGGTCGGTCAGCCGGTGGCGGCGGCTGCTGTCCCTGCTCCGCCGCCAGTCGGCGCTGCTGTCGCCGACAGCTCGCTCCCAGCTGCAGCTGTCCGCTTCAGAGGAGCTGCTCGTGCAGCGCGCCCTACAAACGGTGGGACCCCGCCCCACACAGTACAGAACATCCTACAGACGGTATAAGCAGCTCGCCCCTTCAGTACCTACAGCTAGCTCTACAAACATTTGAAGCCCCTCCCCCCACCACACTATATGGATGTAAGTACACGGTGTAGTTGACTCTATAAACGGAGGAAGCAGCCCCCCACGATCTGCAGAGGGCCAAAGGGGTCGCTTCAGCAGTTATTTGTTTGGCGGACAAATGCAGATAGTCAATGCTTACGATGTGCTTTTGTGTACACACCAAAATACCTGCTAGTCTTAGCACTTCCTGTATTACATTGCACTTTGCAGCCGTGTGGCACACGTGGCATAACATTTACATGTTTATACGTCTCGAATAACTGGTACAGGAAGTGGCACACATAATGACGCTATTAGTTTGAGATCGTCCTCGCATTTTTGAGGAATGGTTGTTGGGTTATAGGGAGTTTCCTAAAAAAGAGAGGTCCGTTTTGGCGATTCATCTGAGGGGTTGATAGGCAAGCTATATCTAACCGTACAAAAAAAACTGCATGTCTTTTGACATGCAGTTAGCAGGGAAAATGTAAAAATGGAATGCTGGAAGAATGGGAGAATGGAAAATTTATTAAACGGTTGAATGACACCCAACTAGGTCAGCCGCGATATCTTTCAGACACTCATCAATTCATGGCGCACACATCACCTCTTTAATCCAAACGACCTTGCCTTTATGCCATCCAAACAAATATCCTCTAACGGCCGCCGTCCCGACCCGCTGACCCCGGTCTGACCCCTGTGCTCTGGCTGACCTCTGACCCCGGCCAGGAGGCGGCTAAGGATGCTGACCCCTAACCCATGGTTGACCTCTGACCCCGGCCAGGAGGCGGCTAAGGACGCTGACCCCGCGCCGTGGCTGACCTCTGACCCCGGCCAGGAGGCGGCTAAGGATGCTGACCCCTAACCCATGGTTGACCTCTGACCCCGGCCAGGAGGCGGCTAAGGATGCTGACCCCTAACCCATGGTTGACCTCTGACCCCGGCCAGGAGGCCGCTGAGGATGCCGAGGCTGAGGAAGCACGCCGCACCGCCCGCCGTCAGCTGATGCTTCAGGTGTGGGAGCGCGAGGCTGAGCACCGCCACCACGCGCAGGGCCCTCCGAGCCGCCGGTGCTCCGAGCCCGAGACGCGTCACACGCCAGGTAACAGGCCCGATAGTAGATTTGTGGCAGGTGCATGAGTTAACGCTCAGGAGAAACCACGAATCGGGGCTATTCAGTACCCGAGGATTCATTGATATTTGTATGATTCAAATTTAGTTCAGTTCTCTAAAAGGCACTTACCAACTCCTTTTTCCGAAAGCATGTTTATCTTTTTATCAAAACTGGTACCACGCTCACTTAATTGCATCACAAAAAATACCGCAGATTTCGACGATCTTAATTTACACTTAATGTTTAAAGTGTCTTTCACTGATGGAAACAGAACCGATCGGACGGTGGGAACGGTTCCGTTTTTTCAGACGAGTCGCCTGCTGCGGCTCGCCGCCGGCACCAATCTGCCGAGCTGCCCACTCTGGAGCCAACCGACTGGGCAGAGCCCTCCGAGCCCCCATCGACTCCGGAGCCGGAGCCGGAGCCGGAGCCGTCTGAGGAGCAGCCGCCGCAGCCCAGCGCTCCCAGCTTCCCCATGCAGGATCCTGGAAAACAAGTGGAGATCAAAGAAACGGAAATTCAGGTGCGAACATTTTGCGTTTTTCGTCTAGGTAGATTGTAGGTAATAGGTATGTCATGACCATCACGACGCGAAAACAGTCATCTATGATACCCTCGTAGTTTTGGCTATGTGTAAATGCGCACGGGAAATTCTAGGCCAATTTTAGGTAAGCGTGCAGTGGCTGATGGTTTTTCCATTGTTCTACAGTTTCTTTTTTTTAAATAATTTAACGGTGACTGCCCTAACCTGATCGACTGTCCCAGCAGGTCCGGGAGCGTTCGGAGAACGAGTGGACGGCCGAGTGGGACTGGGCAGAGACGGAGCGACGCTCGCGCGCTCGGACCACCCAGGTGACCCGCTCCGAGGTCAGCGTGACGTCAGAGGTCAGCGTGACCTCGCAGAGCAGCGTGACCTCGGAGAGCGGTCAGGTCACCGCGCAGGGATCGGCGGTCGAGGAGAAAATGGATATTCAGCAGCACGAGCAACAAGAGCAGGATCAACAGCAAGGACAAGAACAGGAAAAACAGACGAAACAGCTTGAAAACCAAGAGAAGCAGCAGCAGACACCGGACGAAACGGGTCAGCAGGTGAAAGGTGACGAAGAAGCACAGAATAATGGAGATAAGAATTCTGCAGCGACAAACGTCACTGAACAAATTCACTAAGTCACTATACGCGGACCGGTTTTACGGCGCTGGGCGACCATCTTGAGGTAGGACTTAGGAGACAAATGTGGGATGAATGATTCTGTCCGTCATAGTTAGACGGTCGAGCCGGGTCCCACTTTCCCGCCAGGGTAGACCACCCAGTTCCCCGAGGTGTCGTCAGGCGTCAACCGTGCTGAGAGTAGTGCTAATTCATCAACGCATCCCCTACGACCCCTGCCGTTACGCTGAGTGCAGTGCTGTTTCGTCATACCCTGCTCTGAGAACCTTGCGACCCCCGCCTTCTTCGAACCCCGCCCCTGCGACCCCACCCACTAGCGTTCTTCGCTGCTGATCGCTAGGGTTTTCTTCAGTGTTTGTTGATAAAGCCATTGTTTTGTTTTGGGCAGATGCCGTTTTGTTGACGATGTGGCTTCGTAACAGTGTTCGCCACGGGCCCCAAAATCCCCAGCCCAGCCCGGCCCGGGCCCATGGGTTCAGAGCCCGGCCCAGCCCGTAGCCCGCTCTTGGCAAAATGTCCAAGCCCAGCCCGGCCCGGCCCGTCAAAAATAGCAATCTAGTTATTGTCTTAAACTATTGCTATAATAAGCATGATTGATTACACTATTTTGAGAACAATTCAAATTGCATGAATATTAACATGACAATCATGACTCCCTTCTTTTCAATGAATATAATCATTTCAAGTACCTATGGCACAAATTTTAACAGTAACAGCAAGCACCTCAGTCAATTAGGTCATGATTACACACCTATAAAAAGTTAACATTATATTAACCACATTCTATGAGTAAAGTTATCTTGCAAGCTGATGTGTGTGAACATTATCATGCATAATTGGTGACTCTAATGCATACTTGAAGGAAGTATTTGCAACTTACTCTATACTTCCCAGCACTTACCAGCAGAAAAAAAGCTTGACTTATGGGAATTGATGAATCTGTCTCATGTCTGGGATTGACCTTGCTGTTAAATTCACTCCATTGATGCTGCAATATCAAAAGCCTGAGAAAGCATACAGAATAGGTGACACTAGCTTTAGCACTGTCTTCCACAAAAGAGAAAATCCATCCATTTATCAGCAAAACTGATTTAATCTATTTTCAATTCATGCCCACGTGTCAACCGAATCTCTGTGGACAACTATCTGCTGCTTTCCTTGCTATTTTATGTTAGGCTCTTTTCAAGATATGGATATCGCTAGCAGCGTAAGCAGAAAACATGGTAAGTTTGAAATGTCATTTGGTACTTTTGCGACTTTTACGCATCATCATCATCAATTGAAATTGAGCGAACACTTCTTGATTGTCGCAGCTGCGGCAGGTAGCGATTCTGACCAATTGTATAATAAAACATATATAATCAAGTTCTTATTTTGTTTTTCGTTCGAGTTTTCAGACTTCGTGATCTTGGTTTTATTTTCTATTTGTTTCATTTTGTTTTTCAGCTTGATACTAACTTAAAAAACGTATTTATTTGATATACTGTTGTGTATACGAGAAGTAAAGTAATCTTGGTGTATACTACCACCTATAGATGCCGCCACATAAACATAGCGCCATGGGCGCCATGATCGTAAATTTTGTTGAGAAGGGGCCGGGTTGTTGTTGTTGTGATTTATTTTGACAAATTTATGGACATTTAAGGAAGCTTTCATCGCGAAATACTCTGTAGAATTCAACGTTACTTACAGTGTGTTTCGCGAGTATCCTTTTAAGGTTCTGTTCGTTAGAAAGCCGTCGGTGAAGGAAAAAAGACTGTGTTGGAATTGTCTCACTATCGCCATATATAAGTGTTAAACTTAATGTAGCCCTGTAGCCCATCATTGTTGAGTGGCTTCTTAGTTTTTGGAGTTGTAGTGCTAAGTAAGTTATTCTGATAACTACATTTCAACTTTTATTAACAAACTAATGATGCTAGAGATTCTCTGATCTTTTTGGTTTCGGAATTTTTATGAAAACCCTCCTATGTGTGACATGATGTGATATTGGATAATTCTCAAGATTCCCAAAATTCAATATGAAGTAGGTTTTCTTTCACATTGCTTAAATTTGGTTTAGTTTTAGTATTTTCCCAGTGGGTTTTGTTTGCATCAGTTTCCAAATTTTCTTAAATTGACATTAGTCGCAAAACCCATAGTCCACAAAGCTCTTGGCCCGGCCCGTCCATAGCCCGTTAACTAATGATATTTGGGGGCCCGGCCCAGCCCGTAGCCCAGCCCGGCCCATGGCCCGTTGGGCTGGCCCGGCCCGTGGCGAACACTGCTTCGTAACATATCGCTTGTGAAGTGGCAAAATAAATCCACTGGTTGTGCTGCAGGTGGTATGCGGAAGGTGACGACACAAACCATTGTCTGACATGTCTCACATACGGAACGACGCTAGCGAGTGAAAGCCACTAGTGGTTCATTTATACCACATAGTTTTTTTAGTGTATTTATATTGCATCGCACCTAAGCATTTCTTCCGTTTGAAGGCACCTAATCCGCCACTTTATGTATAATAGTACACTGAGAAAACAGTGTCCCCATTTTCGGTCTCAGAGACCAGTTTTCGGGCTAATGTACCATATTCAAAACAGACAGCACATTTCGAGAATACTTTCTGAGCAACGCCACATGGGATCATACGATCCCTTAAATCGGTATCATTGATCGCAGAAACAGAGCTCAGTCAGTACCCATTATCGGTGTCAAGCTTTAAAACTAGTCTCACTATGAAACCAGTTTTCAGCCCGATCCCCATTTTCGGGCTCACCTGAATCCAGTTTGAGGGCTCAACCCGATCCCTTTAATCGGTATATCATTGATCGCAGAAACAGAGCTCAGTCAGTACCCATTATCGGTGTCAAGCTTTAAAACTAGTCTCACTATGAAACCAGTTTTCAGCCCGATCCCCATTTTCGAGCTCACCTGAATCCAGTTTGAGGGCTCAAATTGTGTGGTGAAGCCAATAATAGGGCTCACCTCATCGCTTTTCGTCCGATGCAGCCCCTCCTTCCCCCTCCCCGTGTCCAGCAGCTGCGAATAAGACGAAGCCGCGGACAAACTTTTTTTTTTGCTCGGCCAGCCTAGCGCCAGTCTCGAGCGGTGGGACAGTTAACCCGGCAATTTTGGCCGGGATGCAAAAGTTACGTTAAACCGGTTTATGTTAACCCGGGAGCAAATAACAACGTGGGAGCCTATCTTAGGTGTGGCAAAGCTAACGAATTACTTACTTGTTGCCGAGGTGCCCAAAGAAGGTACTGGAACCGAAAACACAACATTGGTTCATGTATTTATTAACATTCATACACACAGTCATACTTGTGCAAGGTGTCAGTGTTCGGTTGTGGGGTGTAATAGCCAGGGAAAAAGTTATATGAACTGAAAAACCCGGCGCCTATTACTTCGCAACATGGTTGTGTATTCAACATGAACTGCAAGGAGTGCAGACGACATTGCCTGTGCTAACTTAACGTCTCACGGGCAGCGCCGCGCTCTGACACCTTGGTCCCAGGGTGCAGGGTCCCAGAAGCGGCGGCGTTTCTGACCGCAAATCGCCGGAGAGCCGGTCGACGCCGTTGAGGGGACTGAGCAGGCCGCTGCCAGCTCCACCTTCACGTCCGCGCGGCGCAGCTCGGTGTGCGGCGGCGGCTCATCGCGCGGGCCGCACCCGTCCGTCCGCTGCACGAGCCGCTTTTCGATCCGACAGCGCAACACCGGCACGCCATTGTGCTGGCTGAGCGGCGGCAGCGGCACGTAGGCAACAAAACAGTAGAAATCGATGGGCCTGGATCGGCGTTGCCAGCAACGCCGGCAGCGGCGCGGCGGGAGGCGCCAGTGCCGCCGTCGGGGACGTGTGCCCTTCGCTGCGCTCATTCGAGTTGGCCGGCCGGCCGCGCGGCGTAGTCCTTTTGACACGGTGCGAGAAGAGCCGGATGAAGGTGGACTTTTTATTGGCGTTGCTGGTGCTCACGCCGCCGGCGTCCAGTTTGGGCGGCAAGTCCGAGTACCAGGAGTCGGACAAGTCCCGCGCGAACGCCGCCAGCCGGTCGTCGTCACTGCTGGCGGCGGCCCGCCGCCGGCGCTGCCTCAGAATCGGACGAGTCGGTGGTACTGAGCACCTCGCGGGACGGGTAGCTGGGAGTGGGCCGGCCGCGGCCCCTGCCAGGCCGCGCCACCTTCACCGGCGCAGCCGCCTTCAAACTGCCCTTGCTGGGCGGCGGGTTGGTCGGCGGAGGCGGCAGCGGTGCCTCGACGTCAGTCCGAGTCGCTGTCACTGGGCGGCCGCCGCGGAGACGGCTTCTGTTTGACCCGCAGCCGGCCTGGGCCGGCTCGGCGCCCTCGGCCGGCGGCGCGCGCCGTTTCGAGCGTTTCACCTTTTCACTGTTACTCTCGCCTGGTCCTCAGCGTCGAGCGGCTCGGCGCTGTTCGGTTTCATGTGGCCCATGCTGCTGGGAAACTCGGGTGGGGACAGCTTTCTGACTGGAGTGCCGTCGAAGATGGAGGAGACGGGGGTGCTCGCAGAGTCCTTGCCCAATGCCCATGATAGAGCCGAGGCTCTACTGGACGCCCAGCTTAATCGGGCTATCGCCGCCCTCCTTCTATGGTGGATTCTTCGGCCCCCTACAGCCACTAGGGCCATCATATACTCCCAGATGGCGGCACCTAGGGGATGAGGGGGGGGGGGGTGTCTGGGCCACTTGTCCACCTCGTGGCGTCGCCAGCGACGCCTGCGAGTCGGAGCAAATGATTATGGGGTCTTCCTCGAAGGACGGGTGCTCCAGGAGATGTTGCTTTGCCGTCTTGAGCGCCACCATCTCAGATCGGTAACTGGAGCAAATCCTCCCCGCCGCCTCCCGCAGTACCAATGTTGTACTGTCTGGGTGCTCGGTGAGGACCCCAGCGCCGCCTTCCTATTACTCCCCCGGTCGCAGACCCGTTGACCCAGGCCCACGTCGCACGCTGGGGGAGCGCTCCCAGGCACGCCTCCGCAGCACTCCTCCTCGCTGTCGCGGACGCCGCGATCGGCAGCCGGTCCAGGTGGACCGTGACGCCGTCTGTTGGCGTCTACGGGGGCAGTCTCGTGGATAAGCGCGCCTCGGCGGGCAGCGCCACTCCAGTGGTCCCACACCGCTCCCCCGCGCTCTCTCCAGCCGGTCACTGACTTCAGTCACGGTTGGGGGGGGGGGGGGCTTCCGCCACGACGCGGCGGGTCCTCCGACGGGAGGGAGAGCGCCTTCGCCAGTAGGCGCGATGCCAGCGCATCCCTCCTCATCTCTCCATCGGCACGACGCCCGCCTCGGCCCTCACGGCGAGTCTTGGAGCATGGAAATCGGGCAGCCAGTGATGACTCATGCCACCATCAGCATCTCCGCCTCCAGGACGCCAAGATGTGTGGCCGCAGCCGCAGGCAGCCACGCCGACCCCGCTGCCCGCATGCCCAAGTAGTCTCGAATCGCTGACACCTCTCCTGAAACAAGAGTGGTGTCGTAAACTTAAACCCCTTGCTGGCGCCCGCCAGCCGCGGCCGCGACAACACCGCCACACCAATTATTGTGACCCCGGAACTTCCGTCCCGAGCCTTATTTCACGGCACGATGCTACAGTGCGCTACACGTATTGTGGTATTCAGCTTCCATGGAAACATCAACTAATTTGGACGCTCAAACATGGGAGTCAGGAGTGGTTAAGGCCCAGAGCGTTCTGTCTGGTTTATAAAACCTTGGCCAGCAGATGTAAACGTGCTTTTTGTATAAGTGGCTTAATTTTGACGCAAAAGGGCACTAACCTTCGGCGCAAATAATGCAGAAATTTCAGCGCAAATTGCGAAATAGCTTGCGCCGAACTTCGGCGCATGACGGCTTCACGGGCGTCCGGCGTACCATATGGATGTTTTCCAGTTTGGGCTGCAGGTTTTAGCTCTAGGTTTTAGACTGTAGGTTTTGGGTTGGGTTGGGCTGGGCTGGGCTGGGCTGGGCTGGGCTGGGCTGGGCTGGGCTGGGCTGGGTTGGGCTGGGCTGGGCTGGTTGGGGTGGTTGGGTTGGGTTGGATTAGGTTAGGTAAGTTTAGGTTAGTTTAGTTTAGGATAGATATGAATACCTATTTTTTGTAAGTTGAATTACTTTTTTCATTTTGTAGCATCATATGCCTTCCATCTTTGAACTGCCATATTCAAGCACCAGAATAAGTATGGACTTGAACCTTTTCCAGTCTGGATGCCTGTATGGAAGTTGTGCAAAATCATGCAGTTGAAGGTATTGTAACCACAAATAAGAGCTCATGACTCAAGTCTCAACTTGTCCATAATTGGTTATCTTGATGTATACTTGTAGACCCTTCCTCTTACTTGGCACACAGGCATGGTGTCACAGTGTTCTAAAATTGGATTTCAATTGGGTGTCCCAACAAAAAAAAAATCTGAAGACAAAATGAGATAGATTTAGTCTTTCCGCAAAACTGCATAATGCCATTTTTTACCTCAGATTTTGTCAGAACCTTCACAGGATCTGAAATGAAATGATGTAGAGTAGATGCATCAACTGTCAAGTCATGCGTAACCTGGCAGCTGGCTGTTGAATCAAACTTTTGACATATTTTTTTAGCAAAGATGAAATAAAGCCACTTGTCATATTTTTAGGATGAAAATATTTTCCCCATCATGTGTGGTTATTCACCTAAAATTCTGAAACATGGAACACTGTGATACCAGCATTCCATCATGTCAACCAGCATTCCGCAGCATGTTAGCAGAAGCAGCAGCATGTTATAAGTATATGAAAGATCCAAATAGGTTGTAGGTTGGTAGGTATTGGTACTAAGTTTAACTTAATAGGTTAGTAGGCAAGGTTAGGATTAATTTTAGTTGAGCATCAAGATAACCATTACGAACAAGTAACAAAATCCTTACCTACCCTTGAAAGCATTGCTTCAATCACATCATCACGAAGAACCAGACAAAAATTTTGCACATTCTTACACTATTTGACATCCTGAATCCAGATATGATGCTTTCATGTGGCGCAAATACAAGAAAAACGAATAATCAAACCCGGGCCCTGTTTCACGGCGGAGCGCTGCAGTGCGCTGCGCGCGTCGGCGCGTTGGGTTTCCATGGCAATATCAACAAACTTCCCTCTGACGCTACGCTATGACGTCATCGCAAAACGCTAGCACCGCAGCGCCAGCACCATCCGCACGCTAGCAGTATTCGCACTCAAACTTCTGTTCAATGGGTACTAGGTTTTTCAAGGTCTCTGTTCCAAACGCGATTTACCATAAGCTAACGGATCGCACGCAACGTCATTCGAGTGACGTCAGGGGCGTGCCTCAGCTCCCAGCGCGCTGCAGCGCGCGCAGCGTCGGGCGGTGAAACAGGGCCCCGTGCGTATTCGTATCAACGGCGCCACAATTGTAGATCAGACCTTTTCTGAACAAATGCCACCACAATTTTAATTGATAAGGGATTAAAATGGCATGAGCATCAACATCTTGATTTTTTCTAAAAGATAGCGATAACTGATAACTAATAACTTACCATTCATTTTGAAATCACGGCGGTAGGTACACCAACACATGGCACTGAAAACAGCAAAAGACGGAATGGGAATGGCGGAATGTCGTATGGAGCCCTAAAACGCAGCTCGAATTGAGCCCGAAAAGGAAGACGAACTGAAGCCGCTTTCGGGGCTAATGTACTTTGAGCCCGAAAAGGGCGCCTAACTGATACCGATTTTAAAATCATACAGATTTGAGCCCTGTTTTGGCACTCATATGAGCCCTTATTCAAAAATGTTCTCAAAGTGTTTTCTGAGTGTAGAAGTAGGCACCCGGTGCAGTGGTGAGAAAGAGCCTGGTTTCGAGTCGCTTCGTGGAACTCTTTACATGAGGTTCTCGAATTGGATGGTTTGCGGTAATGGAGGGAGTCGACATTGTAAGGGTCAAAGTCATGCCCTACACGTGCTTACTTGATTTTTTTTTTTCGCTCGTTGACCTTTCCAAAACTCTGCTCAAAACATCAATTCACACATTCAAGGTTATGCTCTATGAAATATAAGCTCTCAATAATTTACAAATTATGCTCATAACTACAAAAACAAAACAAAAGAATTTTAATTAGGTACTGCTTGTAACATTCCACAAGGTTAACATAGCCAGACTGCCTTGTTTATTGGTGAGTGGCTCTGCACCCCACACCCACCGCACCGGTCAGCTCTATCACCGGCCACACCAGACCACCAGAGTCGGCTGGCTGCTGTGGCCCAGATGCGCCGTCATCTGGGCGCCTCGTGTCCTCCCGCCCCCAGCCCCGGACAGCCGGGTACAAACGGGACCGGGCGTGCCCCCGCGCACCACTCGAGCCGTCGGCAGTCCCCGGTCCGGTTCAGCACCTCCTCGACCCGACCCGACCCGAGGAGCTCGCGATGTCGACCAGCGGCGTGCAGGACGTGGCTGGAGAGAAGGAGCTGGTCCACCAGCTCATCCACTGCGGCAGCTTCGAGGAGGTGCTGCAGCAGTACGACCAGACTGCCGACACATACGAACAGGTGAGTCGCTCTATTAGCTGAGCGGCTACAAACGGGACTTTTAGGCATTTGAGGCAGCTTTGCTAATAATGTAATCAGGTAGGTAGATTTCTTGAACTCCGACGGGAACATTGGTTCTTTCTGCAAATGCTGAATGATATTTTGCATTCGATGTTGTTGATAAGCTCAGCGAGAAATAATATCAGTCAGGCACCTAAATGAAACCCCGTACCACTGAGGGCGGGAGCTAATCACCTATGATTTGGTCCCTCATAACGAAAACACACGGAAAACTATGCAGCGGAACTGTGGCTGCGGGAACTCCGCCAGCTCTGTCACTGTGAGGTAGGCAACCCGCACGGCACGCGCCGCCGTTTGGCTGCAAAAACAGCCTGAAGTGCGGAGTGTTTGGCACCGCCATTCGCTCTTTCTGTACATGAACACATTTTGTAGAATCTAACTCTAATCGAAATCTCACATCAATATTAGCAACAGTAAAATCCGTTTTTTTTAAGAAAACGACATATTTTATGTCATCATGTTCGTTGTTCACATCCCCGACCCCACGTACGACTGGGGGCTCTACAGAGCCTCCCTCTCGTTTTTCTGCAATATCTTCTAAACCACTGGACGTATCAAGATGAAAATTACAGTGCCTTCCGCTGCATTAATTTGACACCTTGCATCCAAATACAAATTTCGTAGCTACCATAGGTCGGCCGTAAATGACGTCAGAATGACGTCATGTTTGGATAATTTTGACGCAAAACATTGAACTACGGCAATCTTTTTCAAGAGCTCAGCTTCTAAGCTAGATGCAATTTTTTGCATGGAAGGACTACACAGGGCTAGCGAACTGTTATCTTGGATTAAGATTTCCCTTAGTTTTTTCGCGAATATCTCAAAAACGGCGGTGCGTTTTTGGTACACCTGTTCATACATCATTTCCGCACAAGTTGTGAATATTTCAGACCCGGGTCGTTCAAGGTCAGGTCACCACGTCACGTCAAGTGACCTTACCTCAGAAAAAGTCCAAAGGCTCTCTATGTATAGCTACACCGACTGAACGATCACTTTGAAACATCAGCGATTGATATGAGTAACAGTATGTATAAAATGTGTGTCTCGGATTTTATATATGTGACCTATGGTCAGGTCAATTTTGCGACCTCTCCATTATAGGTAAGTCAATGGGAGAAAATTGCAATGCACCTCTTTTGGACGAATGTCGTTCAAAACGCTCTCAAACATCGGTTCATAGGCAAATATCACACACTGAATCGGAAAAAAATGCACCTGTGACCCCTCTGTGCGTCCCTGACGTCATCTCAGGTCATGAACGGTCACCAGCAGTTTTTGGCTATAACTTTTGATAGAGACGTGCTAGAGAGGTGAAAATGCGTCAGCTGTGTTCAGCTCGACAATACGAATCGACTGATATGCAGCATGGCCCTTTCCGGTCAGGTCATGACCTTGACTTGAAGTCAAATTTTCAAAATGACCTTTTAAGGTTAAAAAATAGACGTGTCTCGAAGAGAGGAACACGATGCTGCCAAAAGTAATGTCGTGGCTCTCGAGCCGCGGGGGGGCATAAAGCTGCCCCCTTTACGTTTTGTGGAATATCTCCGAAACATGATAAGCTAAGAACGTGAATCGTGAACGTGAAAGTTTTGTCGTTTTCCGATATGGACCGTTTCTGACGTCGCTGAGCATGGAACTCAACTGTAAATGAACTACATAGACAGCACCTGCTGTCATCCTAAAATATCTAAGCACACTTCCAACTTGTTCCTGACCAATAATCGGTCCTTTATATTCGGTCTCATGTATCGGATATATCGTGAGGAAACTGAGAGTCGCAAATCTATAATTTGACTTCTGACGTCACTGTGACGTCATTTCAAATGGGATCGACACCAATTTGAATTTGAACGCAACCTTGGCTAGGTATTCAAAAAGATGTGTGCAAAGTTTCGTCTCTCTATCTCTTCGCGTTGCGACGATATCGTCGCAGAAATAAAGAGGGGGCAACTCTATGAATCTATGTACGTGTAACCACCATGTTCTCAAGGCGTAGAAAAGCCCATGCTATGGTACAGGACTCCCCCGGCGTGGCGCAGAACATCAATACATGCCTGCCCTGGCTGCTGACAACTGTGTAAGTAGTGTGTACTGTGTACTGTTTCAACTTTCAGTAGATGCTTTGTCAATAACGACTTCGACGCGCTCGTTTCAGTATTTCGTCAGTAACGACTTCGACGCGCCGCGGCTGGTGGCAGAGGCCGTGCTTCGTCTGTATCCTGCCGACGGCGTCATCGCCCGCGATCAGCTGCAGGTCATGGATCTCGCCTCCGGCACCGGCCTCGTCGGACAAAGGGTCAGTGGGTGACGGCCGACGGGTCTAGCGCACCAGCACAGGGTTCTGTCGCACCAAGTGTGTGTGCACTCTTATCCGCAGTTGGGGAGGCCGCGGGAAGGGCACGACTTAGCAGCTCGATAAACACAGCATTGTTGACAGCACTGCAAACCAGTAAAAACTGGTAAGGCGAGCTGTGCAGCTCCGGTGCAAACTGGTATTAACTGGTATCGAGAGGCTCCGTTATTATTGGATGAGCTCCGGGGACCTAAGACAGGTAAGTGTGATCACGCTTTGGTCTTGGGGCTTTTTGATGGTCGCATGGTGAACAAGGCAAAGCTTTTTTCAGTTCAGCCACGGCATGATGGACGAGTAAGATCGTGACTTCTTTTGTCGGTCAGATCGATAAGTGATAGGGACTAAGGTCCCTTACTATGCACGGTCCCTTACTCATTCGTTCATATCGATAATGAACAGGATGAGGACGGCTTCTTATTCCTTCAGCTCGACAGGTGAGAACAGTTCCTCAGTGGTCAGGTCGACAGGATAGACGGTTCTTCAGCGGTCAGATCGACAGGTGAAGACGGTTCCTCGGCAGACAGTAGGACAGATGAAGACGGCAGCATGGTTCCTCAACGGACAGTGGGACAGGTGAAGACGGTTCCTCGATGAACGATGGGATGGGTGAAGACGGTAACACGGTTTCTCGGCAGACAGTAGTGCAGGTGAAAGTGGTAACTCTTCAGACAGCGGGGCAGGTGAAGACGGCAGCACGGTTCCTCAGCGGACAGTGGAACAGGTGAAAACGGTAAGACGGTTCTTCGGAGGAGAGGAGAGGACAGGTGAACACGGTAACAAGATTCCTCTGCGAACAATTTGACAGGTAGGTGAAGACGTTTCCCCGGCGGAGAGCGGGACAGATGAAGGCGGTGATACGGTTTTTCGGCCGACAGTAAGACAGGCAACGCCAACACGGTTCTTCGGCGGGCAGCGGGACAGGAAAGCTGGATGCTCGAAGATAATTGTTCACTTCTTATGCAGGTTAAAAAAGAATCATGTGGCTAGTAGGCCCATGAAACCTATTGGCTCATGTAAGGAGCCAATAGGTTTCACTTATCCGTCTAAAGATTTCCAAAAGGAAAATATATTGATCAAGTTTACATTCCTGAAAGTCGCATGACCCATTTAGCACCTTTTTGTTACAACCTGACGTTGGCAGCCTGTATGCAACTGTAGTATCAAAAACCGCATTATTAGAGTAATAGGATATGTTATTTACAAGCCATGTATCTAGCCTCTACCGAAGCACTATTCCCGCGCCCTGATGGGGGGGGGGGCATTTTGGCCCCCCCCCTGTGGTTTTTCTTAAATAGCGAGAAAACGGCGGCGCGCAGCGCCGCCAAATTTTGGGTACCTTACCGGGCATCAATTTGACACCTTCACACACAATTTCAAGTCACAGGTCACCTCAGGTCAGGAGTTATTGAGGTCAAACTGAGGTCATGTTCGAGTAAAAATGAGCAAAAAACATGACATCTTGAAACGCTCACCAATTCTACAGTTAACAAGCAATTTTAAAGTTCTTTATGTGGTTGTGTAGAGAAAACACGGCGCTACAAAACTGCTATCTCGGATTTTCGAAATGTTTTGGATTTTGACCCCCAAAAATCAAAAAAATTGATTTTTTAGAAAAACTGAAAAAAATCCAAAAATTTTCGAATTTCGAAAAAAACGGAATATATGTGATAGTCCCTGCGCTCTTCGATATACATACCAAATTTGAGATCGATACCTCTTTTTTTGGCCAAGTTATAGCGAAAAAACTGTTAAAAATTGATGACGTCAAATTTTTGAACTCAATTGTTAGCAATTCTAGACCTCGTAGCGCAAAACAAAGACCACCATTGAACTCCCCGTGACGAGCTGCATCGAATCGATACCCATTTTATGCAAAAATATCAACTTTGAAATTTGACCTAATTTGACCTGACCTTGACCTGACCTTGACCTGACCTTGACCAAAACGTGACCTAAGCTGGCCCAAAAGTCTGCCTGACCCACATAATCGCATTTGTCATGTAAAATGGACCATAAAACATGTATCACACGACACTTTCATATTGTGACCCCCCAGTGACCTGACCTCTGTGACCTGACCTGGTATCAGTGACCTCAAATAGCAAAATATGTGTTTGAAGAACATTTCCCCATCGATGATTTTCAATGAAATGCATTTTACACGATTTTACAACGCACTTCTTGAAATGCCTGTAAACGGTGAAAATTCGACCTTTGACCTGACCTGTGACGTCATCGGTTTAACCGAGGTCAATGAAATTGGGTCACAAGGTAGTTCTCCGTTGGGGCTATCCAACGCCGTTTACCGCTTGTCGCTATGTTGCGTGGTTCTCGAGATTTTAGGGGGGGCCAAAATGCCCCCCCCCCATCAGACCGCGTTGCTCGGCAGACCCCATCAGGGCGCGGGTTAAGGCAGGCACGCTATAATATCAACAGTAGGTAGATAAGAAAACATACATTTCAGAAGTCTAGGAATTTGTAACTGCTGTCAGCAGTTCAGGCAATGACCTACTCAGCCCTCCCGGCCGGTAACTTTCCAGCACTGCGTTAGCGACTGTGGGCCCATTGACGAACCCCCGACCACCACCAACTGACGACAGCCAGGTTCGGTTCTCGTCACCGATGACAGCAGCGCTCGTATAACGCCCCCGGAGCAGACCGCCTTGATCCCGGGTTGTTTACTGTAGCATTGAAGGCCGATTGTAAAAACATCTGCATATACCGTAATGGTCGTGTCAGTACTCTCGGGCAAAGCTGTGGTTCATGTTACGGGAGCCGACCGCTGTTGGCATGCATGAAAACAGTTTACGTTTTGGCCGTTTTTAGAATGTATAGTCGACTACAGAATGATGTTCCACTTTTCACAGGCAATTATTTGCCTGGAGTAGTAGGCTGTACCGCGTCACACGGGCTGAGTTCACAAATTATAGCTTTGTCCCAATGCTCACAATCGACACGCTTAATTGCGTGATAAACGGCACAACTTAGCGCTCCGGTCAACTGATAGCTTCTGAGGAGTGGAGCATCATTCTGTAGTCGACTATACTTGGCCTTAGTCAGGTGTTTAGCTTGATGGTCACGGTGGTTACGAGTGAATACCACGCCGCTATGGTCTAAAGTTGAATTATTTTTGGTCCGTGAGTCTACCTTCTAACATTACGTGTCATTTCTGACACACATGCCACTCGTGCCATGTCTGACACATGTAGGTATCACCTGTGTCATTTCTGACACGTGTCACCCCCTGTCGTTGGACAGCTCCACGATGCTGGTGTGCGCCACATTGACGGTTTGGACGCCTCCAGTCAGATGGCCCGCATAGCCCGGTCCCGGGGCGTCTACCGGCACATCTTCAATGTAAGTCACACATTCAACGAGGGAAAGCGAGCACACGTAGGTGTTTGTCAATAGCGTATGCTAGTTATGTGTAAAATATTCTTGAAATATAGGGAAGGTTACACAAAACAGGTTATACCTAATGCAATTCCATGAAGTCGAACTGTAGTGATGTATTTTTTTACTCCGCCTAATATATTAACGTGCTGATGCTCAATGCTTTAGGGAGCTAAATGCCTAATCTTGGGGTGACACGACCTATTTCAGGAACGGCTTGAGGCAACGTCAGAGCTTCCATTCGCTACTGTCCCGACTCCTGAACCGGCCTGAATCTCGTTAGTACATTTATATAAACATGCACAATGTATAGATGCTCTAATAAAGACATGAAAATGTTGAATTCGATGCATTTAGTTTACCTTTCGCAGTGTAATGTGTCATGAGAGACGCCTTTATTTCATCCGATTCATCCAATCCGATCATTCAATTAAATATCATTCTTATAAATTCTATCTAAAATGGCAATTTATTTTTAACGATAGTTAATTTAACCGTCGAAATGCGATCTTTATCTCTTTATGTCAATGCCTTATTGGAGACCAATGACGCTTTATAATTGAGGACAGTACTGTTAGCTTGATAACTGAAGGTGATTTAAAATGTTAATAAAAGGTGATTGTCTCATTTCCAACATTGACCAACAATCGAAGAGAGGAAAACAGAGAGAGATTGAGGAAGGAAGAGAGAAAGAGAGAGAGAGAGGGAGAGAGAGATATAGAGAGAGAGGGAGAGAGAGGGAGAGATAGATAGAGAGAGAGAGAGAGAGAGAGAGAGAGAGAGAGAGAGAGAGAGAGAGAGAGAGAGAGAGAGAGAGAGAGAGAGAGAGAGAGAGAGAAAAGAAAACTAATTTATGACCTTGTAAGATGCGGCTCATACCATGCATTAGATGGATTGTACTTCGTACATACGAAGTAGGTCCACATACGAAGTATGTGGACATATGTCCACAATCCACTGTGCGTGTTCTGTGTCCACACTGTCCACTCCAGTCCACATGCGCTCTGTGTTCCACACTGTGCGCTCGGCTCCGTATATGTCTACACTCCACAGTGTGCGCTCCGTTCTCCACAGTGTGCGCTCCGTTCTCCACAGTGTGCGCCTCGTATGTCCACAGCGGCAGTGAAATGTGGCTATTGGTGCGCGGGGAGCGGAGCCCTGCCGCGCCGAGCTGCGCCGGAACGCAGTAAATAGGTAAACGGTCAGTTGTGAGTGCCCTGAGTGCCAACTGCCCGTCAGTCATCTATGTGACCTGGGTCAGCTGTGTGACCTGAGTCACCTATGTCAACAAATCAACGATATCATTCGTTACTGCATGCTTGTCGTTCGAGGGCCAAGCGTCACAATCTCAACGACTGTCGACATTACAGCGAACACAGTCATTCAACGACACGAGCGGGGAAATTTTCGGCGAACGGATCAGCCTAACTAGTCTGTACGTGCGAGCACTGACGCGTCAATATTGTTCCGTTTTAGGAGATCGTGGATGAATCTAAGCCGTTGGACATAAAGGAAAACACTTATGACGCTGTGACGATTTCCGCTGGCTTCGTCAAAGGACATCTTCCGCTGACTGCCCTGGATGAAGCGATTCGCATATGCAAGCCGGGTGAGATTTAGACAGATGTCAGCGGCTTTTCTCGCACTCAAGACAGAATACCTTTATATCTAATTTAACTTAAATGAATTAAAATGAATGATTTGGTTTAGAATAGATGCGTGTGACCCCGCTGACAGTACGTACGGCTCCCCTGTAGGCGGCTACGTCATCAACTCGCTGCGTTTCGAGTACCTGGTGACGGTGGCTGAGTTCCACCAGCTGGAGCCGCACATGGACCGGCTGGAGCAGCGCGGACTGTGGCACCGTGTCGACCGCTACGTCACCGACCGCTACTTCCAGGGCGTCAAACAGGGCATCACCTACATCTACCAGAAACTGTGAACGGGTGTCTCACAAAGGGCAGCAAGTACCTACATTTACCAGAAGATGTGAATAAGCGCCTCAAATTGGGTATATCACGTACATCTACTAGAAGCTGTGAACGAGTGTTTAAAATAGGGCGACGCATGGGTAAATCATCCCCGAACTGTGAACGAGCGTCTAAAACACGGCACAAGATGCATCTTCCAGAAATTGTGGACGAACGTCTAAAATATGGCATCACCTGCATCTAACAGAAAACGTGCGCTGAAGGGATGAAGGGAATCATCTTTGCCTGTATGCCTGTAAAGAGCTGTTTGTAAATCAACCTTTAAAATGGGACAGTATCTAATCATTTAATGCTGCCAATGTGAATCAATTATCCATCAAATATGCTCGTGCATCAGCAAAATCAATGCGCATTACACGGGGAGGCACCGAGCTCAATGCCAAGTAGGTATAGGTACGCATTTTTGTTTATGTTATGTATTTGCGCCTATCAAAATGTACTTAGCAGAGCATCATCCTATTATATAACCTATTATATCATTGCAGAGTATACTTGAGCACCACTTGCAACATTCAGGATGTGTAAACACGCGACATCAGAACAACTGGGTGACGTCTAATCTAGGTAATGTAACTGCTGATGTCGAGAGGGAGCTTTCAGCTGTATCCGAATGGATTAGGTATAGCCGACTTGTGGAGACATCACATTTACATTTACCTGGCAATATATATGTTTAGGTATGAGGTCTGAGGAATATAATATTGTACCCATATGAATTGCGCTTAGTCGTTCCTGTTCACATATCGTGGATTTTTATAGGCATGGAAAATGTAGCGTATAAAGGCGCATGACTCCGTGTTGTCGAACCGACCATGCACCTCAATATACAACAGACGGTGTCGCGCGTTTGAATGCTGGCACATTTGATACTATATGGCCCTATGTGTAATGTGAATATAATTGCAATGTATGGCTGTGGCCAACGTGGGTGTGTATTGCGCATGGAAAAGATGCTACAATGTCACATTGTTTATTGCTCACGGCTTCATTGGGTTGACGCTACAAATATAGACGCTTTCACTTTTAACATATGTTTACTGATAGTAGGTAAGGTACTGATAGTAAAGAATATAACAAGCACGGATGTTGCGGGGCGGTGGTTCAATGACCCCGACCATAATACACAGCGGGCGCTTGAAGGAGGGCCTGCTTTGACGCCGCGGAACGGTGGCGACCTGTTGGACCCGGTGGGGACCCCCCCCCCCCCCCGACGAATATATGCGATAGTTCTCGAACGCTTATACCGAGACATAAGGAGCGTAAAACTTCCAGCACCTCTTAGCCCATCTCTCTTGAATTTTTTTTCCAGGTTCAAGCTGGGTCGAAATAAAACATTTGGGTCTAGCCCCTAATGTCGTTAAGGGTCGATTTTTTAGGCGCTTGCAAATTTCGACGTCAAAAACGTCAACTTCAAGCTGCTGACAAAAGTAGAGGTAAAGTCGATATCAGGTCAAGTTAGGTCAGGAGAGCCAAGAAGAGGCACCAATACCTATGCATTAGGGCATTGCATGAAAGCAAGGCAACGGTGAAGGGTGAAGTGCATACTAGCGCATAGCTATCCGTAAAAGGAAATAAGAGCCTCACTTTCAGAAGCTCTGGTTGGTCCCGATTTTCCCGAATTTTTGGTCATTGGCTTGACCTGGAAGGACGACCTATGACCTAAGACCTGAAAGCTGGGTGTCATCGACTTCCTCTCGTTACAGGAAACGTTTTCAATTTTTTTTTCCGCTCTAAAAACATCTTGTCCCCGATCGAACTATAGTTCGATCGGGGACAAGATGTTTTTTTTGTGCATGTGCTTTCCATTTCGTGTGTTACTACTGTAACACCAGTGGATCCAGAAAGGCAGTCTTAGACGCTGCGGGAAGCATAGGCACCTACCCCCAAAAAGTTTCTCCAATTTTCAAGAAACGCTAGGAACTCGATTCTCTATGCACTGCTAAGCAGTCTAAAATAAATTTTCCTTATGAAAGCTGCTTTCTTTTCTTTTTCATTCTCGAAAAACCGCAACATTTTGTCGAGTTCCGGCGCCTCGCGGGGCGGGGGGGGGGGGGGGAGGGACATTAATTAGCTCCAAATACCCCCAGAATTGTAACCACGCGCAACAGAGTGGTCTGGAAAAGCTGTCATAGGGGGAACCATGACCGCAAGGGGCGCCATTGCCCATGGAAATGGTATGCGTGAGAGGGGCGCCTCTGAGGTCACTGAAGCGCCTACATGCGAGAGGGGCGCCCATGAAGCTCATATATGGACTTCATGGGCGCCCCTCTCGCATGTAGCCTCTCGCACGCTCATAATAGGAGCGCCTCAATGCAAAAGAGAGGCGCTTGTGATTATGCCTGCATCAGGCCTATAAAGGGGCACCTGCATGCGAAAGAGGGGCACCTGTTGTGAGGCTTATAGGGGTGCCTCTGCGGCCTATAGGTAGTAAAGGAGCGCTCACATACAAGGGGGAGGCGCCCACGGAGGCCATATTGGCGTCTCCAATGAAGGATCTCGAACACTGGTGGGTTCCGTGAAAGCCCCGATAGGGCTCAATTTTCCCCTGAAAAGTGAAAATGCAAGTGCCTGCATGCCAAAGAGGTGCACCTCTGAGGCCAATGGAAAGAGGAGCACTTGGACGTGTGAAACCCATCGGGCCGCCTTTGACGTCTATAATGGCGCCGCTGATGTCCGTAGAGGCGTCTCTGTGCGAAAGAGGGGCGCCCCGCGCCTGTAAGGCTTTTAGGGGCGCCTATGATGGCCATATCATAGGCGGCTTCATGCGAAAGACAGGCGTTTATAAAGCTCAAAGGGTTCCTATATGCGGAAAGTGGGATGCCTGGGTAGGTTGAGAGAGTCATTTGGGTAACGTTTCTCAGGGACGGTGCCGCAGATATATGCTGAAAAGAGATGGGAAAGAAAGGCGCCTACTGTCAAGAATCCTTTAGGTACTTCTCCCTTCTGAGCCCCTAGAAACCGGTGCAGAGTTTCCGCACTGTCCGCTTAGGTGGTTACGCCCATACCCCTGACCCTGGATTCGTCAGTGTACTTACTGCAAGTGCAATTTGTCTAATTACCCTGAATAACGTATAGCTGAAGTCAAGCTGAAGTGACACGTAGAAATACTTTATGTGGTAGCAAAGGAAGGCTACCAAATCAGACGCGTCTGTTGCCTATTATGAAGCTTTGTTTCAATTCCGACGCATGCCGGTTTTCTTTGCATTTCATTTGATTTGTATACGCCTGCGAGGGACCGTGCCGGTGTTGTGTCCCCGGGGACGACCGGGGCTTTCATTTGGCTTGAAATATAAATGCAAAAATGGCAATTACATATGTCAAGAAAAGCTTCATAAAGCTGTCTCACGACAAGCAAGATTCTTTGCTCAAAATGTCCATTCTAACAATCGCCGCGGTCTTGGCATTCTCCAGCCGCTTGTTTTCGGTGCTTCGGTTTGAAGCAGTCATTCATGAATTTGACCCCTACTTCAACTATAGAACCACCAAATATCTAGCAGATGAAGGTTTCTACAAGTTTCACAACTGGTTTGATGATCGAGCATGGTATCCATTGGGCAGAATTATTGGAGGTAAGTTACCAGAATTGAAGGTCAAATTTGACAATTCCCCGGAAATAGTGGCAAAGTTTGGGTCATCCAAAGAATTGGTAGGCATAGAATGATGGAAAGCGTCATAGAATAACAGTAGAGGTTTTCATTTATCATAAATTGAAATGTGTTTTACCAGAATCGGCTAGGCACCTTCATGTCAGATAGTGTCCACTGTTCCGAGTCCCAAATGACTGTCCAATTTGTGGCTTATGAAAAGACGTTTTTAACATGATGAACTTGAAAGACTCATGATATTTTTATTAAGTCTTATTTTCTCCTCAAATTTCTGATCAGCTAAGGAATCAAATAGCTAATAAAGGCACAACTTCAAACAATGTTTAATGCATTATTAGGTAGGTACCTACCTACTGTGTTTGTGTGTTGAAGCAGCACAATGCATTGTGCATTGCGTAGGTTTAATGAGAGTGGGGTACAATAGCAGAGGCTATATATGAAGCTTCAACATTTTTTATGACAGCTGATGCTTTGAACTTATCCTTACTAGGTACATGTGATGTGGTAAAACTGAAGCTGAGACCCACATGTTATTTCAAGGATCTATATTCTGTTCTTTGATGTTTTTTGATCTCTTGAATTTAAAAATGATGCTATCAGTACATTCAATATCATGCTAATCCATTGAGGTTATGTCACTTGACTTAGTCTGACCTGACCTAACTCAGCCTTAGCTTACCCAACCTAACCTTTGCCAAGTAATTCCTACCTAACCTAGCCTGACCTTATCTAACCTCAGACCTGCCTAACACCAAACACTTAAGCACCTCAGGTAGAAGGCTAGGCTAGGTTTGGTCTGATTAGGTTGGATCAGGTGACCTTAGCTGACCTATCATCAGATGATCATGATATTTGCTGGACAAATACCTAAGCATCATTTTTTGCATTCAGAGATAGCAAAACATGTAAGGAACCAAATGTATTCATGAAAAACCATTTGAACTACAACCTAAGAAATGACCTTCAACATATTTTATGTTGATTATTGGTAATATGCAGATGCCTGAGAAGTTTGACCAGATTACCTCATTTGGAATTATTTTATATCATTTTTTTTTCTATGAAGTTCATGACACATATGTCACTTTAGTCAACTTGAAAATTTTGTGATAGTTGTTAGCAGAATGATTTTAAATCAAAGGAAATGTGTGAAGGAAGCTCAAATTTTTTTGTTGTTGACATTCCAATATTCATTTACCTTTGTTAGGTTATGATTCCAGCATGTCGAATTAAATTGCATAAGTTTGAAACTTGCAGAGAGTGCATTGAGTATGAGTATTCTCTGTTTAACCATTGATTGCAGACTGCATGTTACTAATGTTAAAAAGCTGTCATTGCCAGAATTCAGGTGGCAATACAGTGCATACCCAGCTTGTAAAGGTTATAGGCATCCATGCTCACTGCCCACTGTTAAGTGCACCCTCTATCCAGTTAGAAAAATATGTATTTTTCATGCTATTTTGGCAAAACAATCAAAATTTGATTTATTTTCAATACATTGTATCCTTTAAATCTGAAAGATGTGCTTGCAATGTGTGTTGCAATATTTATTTTATTTTGGTGCAGGTATTTATTTTGCTACAGTTGTTATTCTTCACTGAGCCACCAATGGCTTGATGAAAGGTTCTCTGTTCATTCTCCTAGCAAGCTCCATTGTCCTACTAAACTTATTAGGGTAGCATGGGTACAAGCAGGTGAACTAGGTTAAGAGGGTTTCCCATGTAGTTAAAAGATCATCGTCAATGATTATGTACCCAAAAACTCTGCCCCTGTTGGGTCTGCATTTATTCCTTGCCGAGCCTGTGTGAGCCCTGCTGTGTGCCATTGCAGGCACCATCTACCCCGGCCTGATGGTGACGTCGGCCGTGCTGTACCACCTGCTGCACTTCCTGCACGTGACGGTGGAGGTGCGGCACATCTGCGTGTTCCTGGCGCCGCTCTTCTCCAGCCTGACCACGCTGGTGACGTACGCGCTGACGCGCGAGCTGCAGGACGCCGGGGCGGGCCTGGTGGCCGCCGCCCTGGTGGCCGTCGTGCCCGGCTACATCTCGCGCTCGGTGGCCGGCAGCTACGACAACGAGGGCATCGCCATCTTCTGTATGCTACTCACCTACCTGCTGTGGATCCGCGCCGTCAAG